CTGATTATTTCAGGAGCCTTATCACAAGTCCATTGTTTTTGAATTTTGGTGTTACTTCTGCTATATTTTCACACTTAAAACAATAATGTGGTATTCCTCTTGTACCATTGTCCTCGTTTATGCTAAGAAATAAGTCACCAGGCAGTTCACTCTCAAGTGGTTCCACTGCTGCCAGCATTAAGTCTGGGTATGATTCAGTGGGCTATATAACACTTTTAATCGTCAGGAAATTACTTGTCTTTAAAAGTTTAGGTTCAATATACTTACCTGTTGATCAAAAATAGCCTTAAACCTATACACTTTTTTTTGTTTAGTTTTATTTAGTAACTTTCAGGAGGGTGTACTCATTTTTGCAACACAACATTGTATCACTTTGATAAGAAAATCTTATTTTGCTGAATAATTTTGGCATTGTTCTTTGGTAATTGATCAAGCAGCCTTGTTGGAACATTACATCTCCAAAGAACCCTAACATGTCTTCTAAGTAAAGAGTAATTGCTGAATGGGTGTACTCATTTATGCTGTGCACTGTATATATGCATGTATATACATTTGATTTTTAGCCACACATTTATATCATGGATCATCATATCAATTGTAATGTCATGATGCTTTGTTATGAAATTGAAAAGGAAAGGAAATTCTACAAAATGACAAACAATTTCAAATATTTAAGGTACATGTTTCTTAATTATGCAACTGTTTTAATGAATATATAATAATGAGTGAGTGTTGTACTTTTTATTGCAATTGTATTTTATTGGATTTAAATGGTATGGTAATTTTTGAGAAACATTAGATTTATCATTCTGAACTGTCCTATGTTATATACATACATGCAGTAAAATAATTAATAAAGTATTATAGTATATGTAGAATATATTGTATATTTTGTTACATGCCCCCCACCAAAACAAAAATGTAACCTTATGATTATCATATTGAATAATGTGGCAGCAGCTAAATATGTAGAATATGAAAGACTTCACAACTGTATTTTTCACTGCTTGTGATGATGTGAAGGTGTTGTTCGATGCACACGTGTGTGTTTGTTTTTTGCACCTGATGTTTGGCTGCTGTGGGTTTGTTGTCAGTGACACTAATGAAGTGGACATCCCGCCCAACACGCGGGTCGGCACCAAACGCTACATGCCTCCGGAGGTGCTGGACGAGAGCCTGAACCGCTGTCATTTCCAGTCCTACATCATGGCAGACATGTACAGCTTTGGCCTGATCCTGTGGGAGATGGCCAGGAGATGTGTGTCCGGCGGTGAGTGCAACACAATGTGCGGCTGCTTGATTTGACCTGTCGGGATCTGATTGGATGGAAACAAGTGAAGTTGTGATGTGATTGGTGGTTTATTTTCTCTAATCCTCACAGCCTTTGTAGGCTGCATTAGTGCATGTCCACTTTTAAAGCAGACTCGGGTCCTTCAGGCAAAACACTACAGACAAAAACACTACAGATTCACGCTTTGGTCAGTGAAGAGATTTTGGGCTATTTGGCTTTTCATGAAGTGTTGTTTTCAAAGTAGTGCAAAGAAAACATTCAAAATGTGTTTATTTGATAGCACTTTATGTAACGTAATGAAAGTGTGATGATATCAATTGTTTTGATATTGAGTGGCATGTCTTTAATTTGGGATCTGATCTGACGGATCAGAACTAGTGATGAACCGATATATATTGACCATAAAAAGTTTTAAATGGTACAAGAAAGTCTTATGATTTCAAGAGTTTTCAAGATGAAAATTCAAATATTATGCAATATGCAGCACACACGCAGAGTTGTAAATGTGAAGTGTTGGATGGACAAGAAACTAATGCATTCTAAACATCTAAACAATTGAGACACTAAGAATATTTATATGTATGTTATTAAATGAATATAATTGAAAATGTAAAATAGAGAAAAGGTTACACTGTGAACTGAATGACTTTAATGAAGGAAAGATGTGCAAGTACATATGGACAGTTACACAGGAGACTGCAGATTATTGGTATCTGTTAGGGGTGTTAGGTAATAAAAAAAAAGAAAAGAGACACGTTCTGTGTTAACATAATTGATATCGAACTAAATGTAGCTTATTTTCCAAATGTGCAGTCTGAATATGAGGTCAATAAAAGTAAAGTAAAAGAAATAAAAATCCCTGCAGCAGTCGGAGTTTGTATTTAGAAATGAATTTGACAGATAAGCAGGATTGGTTTGTGTGCTGCTTGTCTTTTATTGTAGAACTAGTTTGAATGCAGTGTCTCCCTTAAACAAATGCAAGCATGTGAAACATATTTATTTCATTAATATTAAACAGTAAGGCTTTGAAATTAATATGAGGACTTTTTTGGTGTAAGCATGCAAGATGTCATACAATAAAAAAAGTAAAACATTTATAATAAGTGAAGGGTCATTCTGAGAATATGGTCATGATTTTCCAGGAAAAGCGTGGATTTTGTCCTTGCAGACAGTCATTTAAAGTGGCACATTGAAAGTAAATATACATAATTGGAAAGTAGTGAGATGTACCAAAATGTTTTTTTGAAGGTGGTAAATAAAGATTATTGGAGTATATTTTACAAGAAAATACTCTTGCAGCCGTTCAACTTCAAACTGTCATGTTTAATTCAGTGTGTTACTTGCTGTTTGTTTGTAAGTAATTGAGAAATGTACTAGTAATTACTGAGTGTAAATGGTTTGTTTGTTCCTCCATTATGTCAGTGCACTTTATGATGTCAGCAGGAGTTGAATGCTGATGGAGAGGAGAAAGTCTGGAGTTTGAATGAGTCGTAATGATGAAAAGGACATGTTTGACACTGATTCAGTGACTGATTACTGGGTCAGGGAATGAATTATTCAGAGTAAAGCGATGTCTGTGATTTGGATGTGATCTGTTCTGCTGGTTTGTGTGGTCCTGCAGGGATCGTGGAGGAGTATCAGCTGCCGTATCACGAGCTGGTGCCGACGGACCCGTCCTACGAGGACATGAGGGAGGTGGTGTGCATCAAGAGACAGAGACCTTCGTTTGCGAACCGCTGGAGCAGTGATGAGGTAGCAACATCATACGGAGCTGCTGGCTTGACCAAAACGGGCTCTTGGTTTCATGCTGTGACAGTGACCTGAGCCCTTGCTCAACCCTATGAAGCTATTGCATCATATTTAATATGGTAATGTTCTGAAATGGAGTAATGTAGTCCAAATGTTGCTGTTAAACCAGTTTCACACACAATCGCCTCCATGCTTCTGTCATCTGATAGATTATATTTTGTTTTATCCAGTCAAAGCTCTTTTAGTGTAATTGTACAAGCGTCCAGCTTCAGCTGCAGCTTCACGTGTCAAATCTTGACTGATTTTGATCAAGTTAAGGTCAGAATAACTGCAGTGATATCTCCAGATGAACACTTACTGGACTGAAGCAGCTCAGCTTTACTTGATTCTCCATCAATCATGTTTTAGAGTCTCAAATCTGATCCTCAGGATCTTTTGAGGAGCGTTTGTTTCCAGAAGCTTTACTTTCACTGCTCCTCAGCGGAGGAATGATCTTCACAAGCCTCCAGAACATCTCACATCTTCTGAGGAGCCTTTATTTCTTCATCTCTCAATCACTGCATTCATTATATGTTTGGATCATTTCAATGTCATCTTACTGAGACAGATTACTGGAGATATAGAGCGACGACTGATATTTAGATCATTTTATGTCAGTATCTGTGCTACTGTAGTGGTATAAAGATGTTGTTGATTGACATCACAAGCATCAGTGCTTCGTTGTAGTGTGTGAATAATTTGAAGTTGTTTATTTTGTCAGTACATTAGACTATGAGCCTTAAAAAGGTATGTAGAAAGTGAAGTAGTAGTTGCAAACACACAATGCATGCATTTAGCAGAGGCTGTAATACAAAGCAATTTACAAGAGAGAGCAAACAGACTAGAGGAGTGAGCATGAAGAGTGAATGATTGAATAAAGAAAAAGAAGCGTTTGGAGTGTCAAGATGTTTGTCAGCAGTCAGGGCTTCAGGTTTGTGGAGAGCATTGTTTGCAACCATGTTCCTGGAGGCAGTGGTGAAGAGTTTGTAATCAAGCACACCTGATTGAACTTGTGTGCTCATTAGTAGAGTCCAAGAGCTGCGATGGCTGGAGCACGCAAATGAAACATCTGAAATGTGTTGTGCTGGAAAAGTGGTTTGAGTGGATGTTGAAGTCAGCAGTGAAGGCAAGTAGCACATGTGGAGCTTCAGTGAGGCTGTGTAGTTGAGCTGGTGGATGATAGAAGACAAGAGGAAGAAATGTGGCATGGTTAGTGGAAGCTACTGAATAGAAGCCACATACAGATTGAAATAAAGAGGAAAGCAATGATGTGCAATGCTGGAAGTGTGTGATGCTTTGCAAGCAAAGGGCCAATGTAAATCGAGAACAGTGTGAGCAATCAGCTCAATTGGTGGAAGTTGCATGTGAGAGGAACAGAAGACAAGAAGTGGAGGCTCATGGTAGGAGTAGCAGCAGAGGAAAGTAGGCTGACGGAGATAGTCAGCGTAGCGTGCATTGCCGTGTCGTTGCTCGGTGGAGTCGCGCAGGTAGAGTCGCAGCTCTTTACTCTCGCAGGTCTTCACCCCAGCAGGGCTGCCACTCCACAATGACTGCTGGTTACATACTCACTCACTACCTGCTCCACAGCTGAACCCGCACACCTCATTAACCAATCTCTGCGCACAAACACACACCTCACACTCCCATTGGACACACCTGACTCCCCAGCATCCTCACTGCTCTTCTACCCACTCTTCCTTCTGTCGCATTCCCACACTGCTACACTTCTCATCAACACACTTCATACGAAGGCTCTGTAAGTACACTGTAATAACACTCCACTCACTCCTTTCAACCTCTACACTTCCCGTCCACATACATGCTTTCACTTTGCACTTACATTTCCAAGCCCACTCCTCAAAATACATCCATCATTACAATCACTAATTAACATTATACATCACAACTGTGTTTCTCATTCCACACTCAATACATACATGCTACTTCAAGCCACCGAACAGCAAGTGAAAGTGTTTCCCCTCATTATATTGTGTCTTTGTCTACCTCTAAGTTTTTACACATCTATATACTTTCATTTTCTATTGTGTCATGAAGTCATTCAAGTACAGAAAATGCTATCTTTCACACTACCTGCAATACAACAACTCTTGGCTATACTTTCACTACGTTTTCATTCACCATACCATACCTGATTCATAGTCCTTACTAATCACCAAGCACTATACGACCGCTGCCCACTCTGACACACACAATAAACCCTGCCATTATCAAACCTACTTCTCAGCTATCAGCACTACTACAGCTACCTCACAATCATTCTTCATCAACACTACACTACTTTGTTTCCATTCATATTTCTTTGGAATCAAAAGATTTTATTTCTTTGGCCTCGTTCACACTGTCAGTCCAAATCTGATTTCTGTGCATATCCACTTCAAATCCCATTATATTTAGCAAAGGGCAACAGTACACAAAAAAACATGCACTCACATTTCCATAAATCCCTTTCAAACTACATTCATATGTGCGTGCAAATCCTAATTACAACATCAGGTGCATTCAACTCACTTTGGTCGGAACAAGATGACAATTTCACTTTTCTACATAAAATTCTACTACTTTTTTTTACTCTACATCTACAAAATGATCAATAAACAATGTGCATCATGTTTTAGCTTTTTCCTGTTTTTATACAATGTCAGCTTCATCATATATTCTGTGGTCATTATACAATACTACTATATTTTGTATATGTAACTTTTTCTTGTACAAGCCAAACTACAACATTCTATTCATTTCAACACATTTACCCTCAATAGACACGCTGCATGTTTTCACACTGACTTTTCTCATTACTCTTAGTCCTGATGTCAAATGTACTTTTTACTTCTATTTAGTCAACCTTCTGCTGTTGTGGTTTACTCAACTTTTACTCCACTCAATATCTGACCGTTTTAGTCAATCAAACCTTTTCCTCACATTTTCGTCATGCTGTATAATACTTACAACTCATTAACACAATTTTTGGGCCCTCACAATTATATTCACAAAGATTGCTATCATTTCAGAAATTAATTTTTACATTACTGCTATTGCACGTTCACCAGTAAGCACAAATCCGTACAACTTGGACTTGGTTTGTTTCACCTCATCTACTGTGCTGATTTATTACAGACTATTTCATATATAAATTCATATCAAACACTTGTCTCCTCCCGCTTAGTGTCATATTACAAAATGCATTACGGTCTTTCAGAAGCAAACCTTTTTATAATATTGACAAAAAACATATCATTGGAAAGGTCTGAGTCTCACGATTCCATATTTAGTGTTTTTTTCCCCTAATACAACTCTGTCATATTTACCCAGAAATCTAGACTTTTGTGACAGAAAAATGCATACAAAAACATTCTATGGAGTTTGGCTGGTACCCAGTGGCTATTTGTGGTATGACGGCCTAAATAAAATCTCACAGGAACCTCAATTTTAATCATATCAACTTCAAATTTGGAACATAACTCATTTCGACACAAGGCGTTAATTTTATACCAATTTCACAGTAAAACCTGTTATGTAAAATATTTACTATATATACAAAATACAATAACATTACTATAGTGCATTTTCTTTACAGTACATTTACACTTCTATTACATTTTCATACTTTCATTTTTTTCACAAAATCCACTTTTGTAATCATTTGCTGATTTTTTTGCTCTTTACAACGAGACCAACCTTAGGTCTGTATTCCAAAGTGTTCCTAAATTACCACAATTTCAGTTTGGATAGTGCACTTTCATGCCTATTTTAACAAATGGGGGATGACAGTTAAGGGGTTAACAGTGAAGCTCTGATTTGCACTCATGATATCTGGCAACCACACACATGAAAGCTGCAGTAGAGGCGTGCACAGCAGTCCCCAATAATGTTGCGTCTCCTTTTTTCAACAAAAATTACCAGAAATTTTGGTAAAGTTTCTATTTTTCCCAATACCTTTTAGTCTCATCTTTTATCGTCACCGATATTGCATGTTGATATAGTCACAGTTGACCTTATTGACCTTATTGTCGTCTCGTCTTAGTCATGGGAACAAACATTTTTCGTCATACTTTTCGTTCACCAAATTCACACTAGTGGACAGTCAATCATTACAAATCACATTCCAATCACATAAGCACTAAACCCGGATTTGGACTTACAGTCACTCTGAACAAGGCTTTTGAACTGATTCTTCATGGGAAACTACTGCAATCAAACAGCAACAGTTTCCTAATATCCAACTCTACAACAGCAACACGAGCCACTCTTTTATTCTGCTCTGCTGCAGTGGTTTCTTTAATCTCACCCTTGAATCAGTTCAAATGCATTGACATCTGTATGAAGCTGACCTGTGTGTTTGTGTCTGTCCAGTGTCTGCGGCTGATGGGCAAACTGATGACCGAATGCTGGGCTCACAATCCCGCGTCCCGTCTGACCGCCCTGCGGGTGAAGAAGACGCTCGCCAAGATGTCCGAGTCTCAGGACATCAAACTGTGAGCCGAAAGTCAGTCCGTCCCGAGAGTCTGGGGAGAAAGAGCGGCTTTATCCTGCTTTCTGTGAAAGTTCACTCGAGCCGCTTGCCCTGCAGGCCATCACGGGTCACACACCTTCAGATAAACTCTGACCGTCACTCCATCCAACATCATCAAACCATAAACACTGTTCAATCTGCAACTCAAACTCTCAACATTCATCCAGACACAACTAAACCATTCAATGAACTTTGACCCACCCAACAGTAACAAACAATGCTTTTTCCTCACGTTCTCCAGAAGACAAACAGAAATGATGGCCAGGTTTTCACGCTGTAGAAATATGTCCTTGTAAAATATGATTGTATATGTCATGAGTTATAGAAAGATGTTTTCTTGCATTACAAGAACGTTTATACAGAATGCTTTCTTTCATGTTGCCTTGTGCCTTATTTAACACACACATGTAAAAGTTTAATATTTCATAGTTCTATGTAAATGGAGTGACAACTAAATGTACGTGTTTAACATTCCTGTCCCTTTAATAAACTCAACTCAATTCTGACATGCAGCTTTTTCACCTTTCCTACAAAGAAACAGCAACATTTTCGCATCAATTTTGAAACAATTGTTGAAATTAATAGACAAATTCTCATTAATCATTTTAAGAATACATTTACAATTACATATTAATTGCTCACACACACACGAGCAAGTCATGCAATTCTCATTAATCATTTTAAGAATACATTTACAATTACATATTAATTGCTCACACACACGCGCTCTCTCTCTCACACACACACACACGAGCAAGTGATGCAATGCTACATTTCTCCAAATCGGATGAAGAAACAAACGCATCCTAATCTTGGATGATCTGAGGATGAGGACACTGTCATCAAAATTCCATTTTTGCCTGAACTATTGCTTTAAACCTGGAAAAGAAAATGATTAAAACACAAATTGTGATATTACTCACATTCAAATAATCATTAAAACAACGCAAAATGCATCTTTTACATACTTCTTCACATTATTACAATTACACATTATGTTGTTTTTTTTGTTCTCCACAAATTAAGACTTATATTGCAATTCTCCCATTTCTCATCAAACATCAATACATGCACTCAGAAAATAGCTTAATCATATAAATACTATACATATATAACATGACTCACTGATTACAAAAAAAGCACCATATTTACCATTAAAACAACGCAAAATGCATCTTTTACATACTTCTTCACATTATTACAATTACACATTATGTTGTTTTTTTTGTTCTCCACAAATTAAGACTTATATTGCAATTCTCCCATTTCTCATCAAACATCAATACATGCACTCAAAAAATAGCTTAATCATATAAATACTATACATATATAACATGACTCACTGATTACAAAAAAATCACCATATTTACCCATAAACTAGCATTTTTTTTGCCATTATTCAAATGTCCAATTCCTCACCATCTTTCCAGAACGATCCTTTTCCTATTACTTTTCTTCCATAAAGCATCTTTTAAGCAACATCTGTTGTGAAACACTTTAAATCTGACTTCTCAACATATAAAAACAATAAAGATGATACAGACTCCAATTCAGTGTTGCATATAAATATAATTTATTACTTGTTTAAAAATTCTTTCTTACATTTTGTACAGAAACTTCACAGAGGAGATGCAAGCGTTCGCAAAATACATCATGAACGTGCCATAAAAGAATAAGTAACATCCTCACTATAAATATAATAATCGTATGATAACTATGGAAAGCGACTGCTAGCGGTTTTTAGCATGTATAATTTGCTTTATAAAGGATGCAGATTTTGCATAGACAGCTTTAGAAATCCGGACAAGAGAGAATGAAGGTGAATGCAAAAGTACAAACACACTCCAATGGCTATTAGTTCAGTTGGTCTCTGTACACTTTGTATTTTTCTGCATGCATCCATCCGTTCATCAATCACTCTCTCGTACGATCTCAGCCGGATCTGAGACGGACCTCCTCAGAAACCAGCCCAGAGCATGATGAGCTTATGAAACCTGTGAATTCTGGCCACTAAAGTCTATTCCTGAAACACATCCAGCCATTCACGCTTCAGTCCCGAAGCAGGTTGGTGACGGTTTACAAAACGGAGCTCAAAGATATTCGCTTGTTTCCTTTTTCTTCTACATTTCGATTACACACAGATCACTATGCAACAAAACAATTAATAATCAAAAGAAAACCGAAGAATAACACTGTTAAACTTTACGTTCAGATGTGTTTGTTGTATATATATATATATATGTGACCCTGGAGCACAAAAGCAGTCTTAAGTCGCTGGGGTATATTTGTAGCAATAGCCAAAAATACATTGTATTTATGCCAAAAATCATTAGGATATTAAGTAAAGATCATGTTCCATGAAGATATTTAGTACATTTCTTAATGTAAATATATCAAAACTTAATTTTTGATTAATAATATGCATTGCTAAGAACTTAATTTGGACAACTTTAAAGATGATTTTCTCAATATTTTGATTTTTTTGCTCCCTCAGATTCCAGATTTTCAAATAATTGTATCTCGCCCAAATATTCTCCTATCATAACAAACCATACATCAATGGAAAGCTTATTTATTCAGCTTTCAAAAATCTAAAAATTGCCACCTTATGACTGCTTTTGTGCTCCAGGGTCACATATACAGGAGGCTGGATGGACGTGTAGTTACAGGCTCTGTCCACTGGATGGCGCAAGAAAACAATGAGACGCAAACCAGCAAAACCAGAGCGAGAAACCAAGGAACGGAGTATAAATAAAGGCATTTCTCAACACGTGTTCATAGAAAGGTACCTCCAAGTGTTGTCAGGGGACGAACTGCCATGACGGATGTGAGTCATGTGATGTCCAGGACAGACGGCGGGAAGTCGGAGGTCCAGTATTTGGACAGCAGAAGTCGCGTTTCCTAAGAAACTGATACCACTAACCACACACTAACCAGAAAAGCAAATGGCTGCAGCGGAGCGGCTCACAGTGACCCGGCGGCGATCTCATGGGACGGGTGTCAGTGCTCGGCGCTCATGATGTTCTCGTGACGCCCCATCTCCTCCAGCACAGCGGCCAGACGGTTCAGATTGCCGTCGGGGAAGTGCTGCGCCTCCCACAGGTCCAGGATCACACCGGTCGGACTCGACTTGGTGGCAAAGTAGTTGAGATACCTGCGGACGGACGGGAAAGACATGAGGCTGACATGTGACTGACACACAGATTAAAGGGGTCCTATTATGTTTTTTCACTTTTTCAACTTTAGTTAGTCTGTAATGTTGCTGTTTCAGCATAAAAGGAACTATTCGAGCCGTTCATGCCAGACTGGGGAGAGAGGTGTTGTAATAATGTACAGTATGTGGAAAATGTGTTTTTCGAACAAGCTAGTATGAGAGCCTGTTCTAGTACACCCCCAAAACAAAATCAGGACTTTGTAAAAGAGCATAATAGGACCCCTTTAAACAACCACAGCTCCATTTATGAATTTTCAATTAAAATGTGTTGATTTAGACAGATGGGACTGGTGCTGAAAAATACTCAAAAAACACTTAAAAATGAAAATGCATGAATAAAAAATAAAATAAAACATTACAATGTAAAAAAAAAAAAAAAGAAAAAAAAAAAAAAAACAAAC